GTCGTTCCCGGTAAGAGCAGCCTCTGCCCTCCCCCCTATACTGGCAAGGGTGGGGAGCCAGGACTCCTGGGTTCTATCCCTGGCTCTAGGAAAGGAGTGGGGTCTAGTGGTTAGAGCCGTAGGTGCTGGGAGCCAGGACTGCTGGATTCACTCCCTGGCTCTGCCACTGACTTGCTAAGTAACCTTGGACAAGTTACTTACCTGCTGCCTGTCCTAGTCGAATCGATCCCTGGGTTGGCCGGCTGCTCGTAGAGGTGCGGGAAGGTGGGGAGGGGGTGCCCTGCGGTAATCTGCAGCCTTAGTTTCCCCAAGAGGGCTGCACTCATCTCCGCAGGGTGGGAAAGAGTTCCTGATGCGGGCCCACTTCGGGCTGCCCAGCGTGGAGAAGGAGGAGGTGGAGGGACGGCCGCCCATTGCTGTCCGCTTCGAGATCCCCTACTTCACCGTCTCAGGAATCCAGGTAGGCAGGAGGGGGTTATATGGAGTGAGGGGGTGTAGCAGACTGCAGCCTCACCGCCCCGGCACCTCCTGCTGGTCAGTCTGGGAATTAGCTCAATTCCAGCAGCGTGAGTGCCTCCCGCTGGCCGGTGTCTCTGCTGCCCCAGTGCCCCTCGCCTTGGGGTGCTGCCCCATAGCAGTGCTGCCCCATAGCAGTGCCCCTACACTCTGGGTCTCCCCTCCTAGGGGAACCCCCCCACCTTGCCTCAGTGGCTACTGCCAGTCACCATCTAGCCCCTGCTCCCTGGGGCAGACACAGTCTGTTGCGGCCACTCATCACTGGCCAGGGGGTTGGACCAGCGGCCGCTGCAGCCCCAGGACCTTCTCGGGTCTTTAACAAGGCCTCAGCCTGGGGAGTTGCCCGGCTGGAGCTCCCCAGCCCTGCTTCAGGGACCCTGAGCTCCCCGGCAGCCACGTCCTTCCCCCTCCAAGGCTGGAGTGAGACTGAGCCAGCCCCTCCCTGCGCCCTTATATCCTGGCCAGCTGTGGCTGCTTCCCCAATCAGCCTTCCTGCCCCACTGCAGAGGGGCTGGGAGTGGGGAAGTGAGAACTAGGAAGGTTGGGGGGGCTGGGGAAGCCCAGGGACAGGGCTATACCCTTTCCCATGACTTGGGGGGCAGCCAGTGCCTCCCTTGGGTGTGGGGAGATCCCCCCCATCACCCCTCCCCCTGCTCATGGCTTGGGGACACTCTGGTTCCTGCCGGGGACGTGCATGGTGGTTCTGTGTGCGAGCGACTCGTCGGGGGACCTGGACCCTGGATGGGGGAGCCCCCCCCCACCCCCGGACCGCAGCTCAGCAGCTAGGCGTGGGGTTCATTCCCCCTCCTCTTCCCTGAGCCTTCCTATCGCAGAGTCGGGGCTGTCTGGGGGGGCTGGGGCTAAGGGAAATGCAGCGACTCTGCAGATGGGTTGGAGACGCAGGGAGGCCGGGCCAGGGCTGGGCTCTGCCCCAGCTCCTGGGGTAAGCCTGTGCCTCAGTTTCCCCCTGTATAACAACTCGCCTGCTCCCAGGGGACTGATGTTTGCAGCATGCCCCTGAAATCTCTGGACGACCCAGGCTGGAGAGGGGCCAGAGGGGAAGGTCCCGGTGACTGGCAAGCTGGGGGGAGGCTGGGGTGCCAGTGGGGGGGCAGGAACGTCCCCACCAAATAGCCACCTGCCTTGTGACTTCCCCTCCCCGCCAGGTGCGCTACATGAAGATCATCGAGAAGAGCGGGTACCAGGCGCTGCCCTGGGTGCGGTACATCACACAGAGCGGGGGTGAGTCACCCGGGGCTGGGGTAGGTCCCCTGGGGTCTCCCCTCTCAGCCCTAGCTGGGGGACGCTCACCCTGTGTCGGCCCCCGGCCATGGGGGTGGGGGGTCTACTGAAGGAAGGGTCACAGGGCCGTGGTGCACTTTGCGCTGGCGTGATCCACTTGGACCATTACGATCCCGGCACCCCTCTCACACGCACGTCTCCCTTTCTCGGTCCAGATTACCAGCTCCGGACCCAGTAGGCACCAACTGAGGAGCGAGGGATCCTGCCGCCCCCACGCTCGAAGGAGGCTGGAGCCCCCGGACTGCAGAGAGGCCCTTGGTCGTGTGTGTTTCCCCCTGGGCCGCTGCCCTCTGTCCTGCCCCGGCCTGGTCCTTTCTCCCAACTTCTATCGATTTATAAAGAGAAAATGAACCTCGCTTGGCTCGGAGGATGGTTTTAGTGCCAGCTGCCGGGGGAGAGGGTCTCCTGCCCCCTTTGGGCTGGAAGGCGCTGCTGGTACCTGGGCGGGGCTTGCGGGGGGCCACGTTCTGCCCTCAGTTGCTCCCCATTGCAGTCAGCGGGGCTGGATGTGCGTCCCTGAGCAGGGGATTGGGCCCTGCAAGGAACCCAAGGGAGGACGACGTAGCCTGACAGCTGGGATGGGATCTAAACCCACCTGCTTTGGGGCATGAGCCAATCTCGAATGGGTCAGGAGGGCACCCCGGGACCAAGGAATCGTCCTTCCTCTGGAGCAGGCGTAGCTGAGACCGGATTCTGGCTGTTACAGGTGGCCTGTTTGTACTGCCTCCAATGGCAGCTGCAAGGTGGACCCCTATGTGCCAGCCCTGCTATGGATCAACTGGGGGCAATCGGACGGGAGGGGGGCAGGAGGCAGAGAATTCTGCCCCAGGGCGAGGGTCTGACCTAGTGCTTGTGGGGAAAGGTAACCGGGGCCTGGCTCCAAACCGGCCTGCGGCTCCTCCCCGGGGCCCGGGCCTGCTGGCTTTGCGGTGCCAGGGCCTGGCAAAGTGGGGGCAGAGGTGAGGGAGTGTCGGCCCTTCGCGCCGGGCCCCTGGAGCTGCCAGTCAGCCGAACACAGCGGCTGCTCGCCTGAGAGCCGGTTATGAATGGCCCTGGAGTAAAGGCCACCCCCTCGCAGCTCGGCGCGTGCCAGGGGGCGGAGGGGTGTGGGCAGGAGCGAGGCAGGATGGATGGGTGCGCTGACCTGCCTGGCATGGAGAGGAACAGATCCTCCCCCTCTCAGCACGGGGGAGAAAGGCCTGAGAATTTCCCCACGCTGGTAATGCAGTGAGCTGGGGGAGAGGGGGCAGAGCTGAGAATGCCTGCCTGGATCGCAGGGGGGCTGGCCCCCCATCCTCCAATGCAGCATATGGGGCAGGTGCTTCATCGAGGGGGGCTGGGGCATGACGTCTGGGCACACAGCCTGCCTTGCCCTGGGGAGTGGCTGCCTGCCTGCCCCCAGTGCCCCCAACAATCAATTGCTTCCTCTGGTCCTGGTCAGTTGCTGCCCCCACTCCGGCCCCCACTGATGCTGCTGCAGGGGAGCCCTTCCCCACAGAGCATGGGGGGGATCTGAGGAAGGGGGGGGCACAGCCCGGGTGTGGGGGTGCCAGAGCTTCTGCAAGGCTCCTGGCGTATGGGGGGTTCTTGGGATGGGGGGGCTCCTAGCAGGTGGGGACAGAGACCATGAGCTGGGGGAGGCTCCTGGGTGGGGGGGTCCAGCCCCAGGGGGTCACTCAGCCTGGGGGGGCCCGGCCCCAGGGATTAGGGGGCCAGTCACTGGGGGGTCACTGAGACAGGGGTCAGGGGGTTCCCGCCCCGGGGGGGTCACTGGGACAGGGGCGAAGAGGTCCTGGCCATGGGGGGGAGGGGCGGGTCACGGGGTCCCTGCCCCCCCCCGGGGTGGCTCCAGGGGGTCCCGGTCACTCCGGCGCCGCCGCCTCCTTCCCGCCCGAAGCTGCGTTTGAATCAGGGAGCCCCGCCCTCCGTGCTGCCTCCCCGCGGCCAATCAGGAGGCGAGACGCTCCAAGAGCTTGCCCGGAGCCGGGCTCTGATTGGCCAGGCCGGCGGAGGGGGCGTGGCCATAGGGGCGGTGGTTCGGCTACAATGTCTCGAACCCGGAGCTGGGAGAGAAAAACAAACACGGCGCGGCCACGTGGGCGGAGCCGAGCGCGGGACCCGCCCCGGCCCCCGGTCCCAGCCTCGCGGAGCCCGGCCCCGCCCGCCCCCAGCCCGCCCCTGCGGCCCCCCAGCTCCGCCCGGCCCCGCCCTCCCACTGCCGCAGCCACCGGCCCCGCTCCCTGGCCGCAGCCGCCCCGCA